AGATACTTCTCCCCTTATTTACTGGTTTTCAAAGCAATAAATTGATCATTACTATTGTGCAATGGGATCTGGTTATTTAATTAAGTTGGTTAATTAGTATTATTATGAATTTAAATATGTTTGGGATCTCTCAGTCCATTGCACTATTATTGTTTTGATGTTCAAGTTCTTTTTTTGCCTGGTTGGAATCTCTTCAATTTGGCTCCTGAGTGCTTTTGACATGGCCCTAATAGCATTTGAAACATTACTTTCCAATATGACAAGATGTTCCAAGATCATGGTGTACAGTTCCACCCCAAACCTGCAGTTATTGCTCCAAAGAACGTTCTCGTCATTTAGTGGGAATCCAAATTTTAAGACTACAGTCTGGTCCAGTGTTGGTTCTCACCACTATTAAGAAATATTTCTTAGTCTTTTCAATAGAAAGAGCTAGATTTTATTGTCCAAGATAATGCCATATCACAAATTCATATCTACAGGGTTCTACCTGATATTGTTATCTCCTTTCACCTAGCTTCTTCCAAATTCCCAGTCCTCATTGACCACAACAACGTTAGAATGACAATAGTTTGTGATGAGCCCTTCAGTTTGTCCTACAATGTGCAGAGGTATCAGATTGGGAGTACTGACTTTTTTTTTAAAGATTTATTTATTCATACAGAACTGGGGTACAAGCCAGAGGTGCAGGGGCGTTGAGAGGATTCATCAGAGACAAAGTGTGGAGCAGGACAGGCAGGCTGACAAAGTACACTGCTGAGGGGAGCAGCGGGCAGTCAGGAGACGCCTGCTGTGCCATGTGGTCATCTCCAGGGCGGGGATCAAACTCATGCTGAAGTGGTTGCCACCAGCTTACAGTGCTGCACGCCCTAACCTGTTGAACCACCAGGGAGGGCCGTATACTAATATTACTACCGGCAATTTTTTTTTTTTAAGGCTTGTACTTAGTGTATATGCCACTAAGACTATGTTTAGTTTGCTCTGTTTTAAAGTTATGCTGAGTAATTTAGCTATATGATTATACTAGCAGTTGTTAGATATGTTTTATTCCATTTTTAGAAATTAATTTGTAAACTTGATTTTTATAATTTAATATTTATTATAATATAGGATATTTACATCATCCCAATGTTAAAGATAAGTTATTGTCAGAGTAACTTAGGCTGTTCCATAAGCCTATCTGATTCCTCTCCCAATGGGTAACCATTTCAGCTACATATAGTTTGTCATTACAGCGTTTATATCCAGTACGTAATTTTAAAGGTCTCTAGAGATCTAATGTAGAGTCAGACTAGAGAGTCTTTACTGTAGAAAATGATGAGCTAGAATGTTAGTCACAGGAAGTAGGGACTTTGTATATCACATGAAAATGTGTTCCCCACATTTAAATTAATGACTGGTGTCTAGCAGGTGGTTGGTGAATATGTGTTGAATGAATGAATGCTTGTTAGAAGTTTGTGATCGGAAGAGAGAATGGATCAAAGCTGTACTTTTCACAAAGTTAGTCTCCAAGTAGTGGTTAAGGTAAGTTGGAAGGAAAAACAACATCTGAATGACCATTTTACATATGTATGTCATTAATTAGATGATACTCATTTTGAAGGAAGAGCAAAAAGCTTAAGCATGTGGGATATGGGTGTGTGCAGGCACATCTGTGTTTGTGTGTATGTATGAATTTTGGGAGTTTGCAGGTTGTCTCTGGAGCTTGCACACTACAGTCAGCAGGCCGCTTGGCTGGCCTCACTCCCATCATTAGGCAGACTTGTGCATGGGTGCTGTCTGGGTCACCTTATTTCTCCTTCAGGTGTTCATTTTCATCCTTCAGTATATTAGCTTGGGACTTTCCCATCCATGATGGTCTCAGGATACTAAATCCAGCAAAAAGCAAGTCTCAAGAATTTTTCAAGTTTCTGTTTGTGTCATGTTTGCACAGGTTCCAAAGGAAGCCGCAGTGACAATTCTGAATCCAAAAAGACAAATTCTGACTGCTTGAGAAGGAAAGACTGTATGGGCATTTTGAGTTTTCCACAGCATGGTATATGTGCAAAACAGAGATGTGCATAAAATTGTAGACTTCCTAAGTTCTAGTTTAGTCTCTTCCACGGTTGTTTATTTCTGTCCTTGTGTCCTTACTCATGACCTTTTCAGAGGTGTTTCTCACCCACGTAGGTTATTTTAAGTTCTGTATCATCCATGAAACCTTGCCTGACCACTATTTCACTTATGAAGACTTCCACTAATAAGGCTTTTACCTCAGTGATTGCCTTTTAATTATATACACTCTTATATTTTTGCATTGTTCTTAAACATTGTGCATATGCTTCTACTGAGTTCTCAACAAATTGTCTTATTTTTTCTGTTATAATAGTCAGTGAATTTGGAGTAATGCTAGAATGTATTTTATAAGGGATAGTTATTGGACTTTTGGATTGACAAAGAGAACGCTTCTGAAATTGAAAACAGCCAAAATCCTCTTTACTGCCTTCCAACTGATTTGTCCAATCATGATTAACAGTGAAATGGCTAAAGGAGTCTGGTTCAATTCAGTAGATTGACTGTATTTGAGTGTCTTAACAATTAGATCAAATCAGTTTAAAAATATTTGTGACTGTGTTTTTTGGAATTATTTTATAGATGCAATATGTCTATTTGTAAGTAGTATAAGTCTAGGCAAGCAAGGGTCTCACATTGGTCTTGGGTAGTAAAAACAAAATAAAAAGCAACAGAGGCTGTGGTGATCCAGAGACTACATCTTTGGGAGGCTTCTTTCAATTGCTTTAAGGGCATGTCATAATGGGGTAATCTTAAGGACAGATAGTGATATCTGTGTAAATCAGAAAACTAAAAATGAGCACTAAGTGGAAAGCTGTTAGAAAGGAGAGAAAAACAATGCAATGCTAGAACTTCAGTATCAAATTATATAGCCTAGCTCTGAGTTGGCTACTGATGGCCTGAGGAAGAGTATTGAGGGAGTCTTACAGGTGGAGGGAGGATTAAAGAAGCCCTTTTCTCCCCTAATTCTTACTATATTTTTAGAGAAGAGTGTCCACAAAGGGAGATGCTGCTGAGGAAGAGAGAAGGGCAGGGCAGTCATTAGGTCCTGGAAGAGAGAAAGAGGGGCAGCGAAACTGAGCTTGGGAAAAAGTCTCTGTTCCTAAAGTTTTAGTGATAGTTATACCATGGAAGACATCTGAACTGAACTATGGGTGAACTAAGTTCAAATGGAAACTGCCTATCAGGTCTGGCTCTTGTAAGTTATTTGTGAAATGCTTGGCTCTTGTAAGTTATTTGTGAAATGCTTGATTATTTTTGGGTAGTCAATGCTTGACTATTTGTGAAATGCTTGACTATTGGTGAAATGCTTGACTATTGGTGGCAGGAACATCCTGAGTGATGGGAGATATATAATAAGTTTACTTTGTTTGGAGACTACCAACCTAGACTAAAAGAAAAGGATAATAAAGGAGTGAACATGTTTATATGGAAAGAAATGAGGTTCAGAAAGATGCATAACAATTTACCAATGAAAGCTGTATTAGAGTAGAGCATGGATGTCATCATTGACAATAATTATTGGAGATTGCTTGTCAGAAGATTGGATTGTTTGTCATAGTCATTGTAAACAACAGTGTATGGACCTTGAACTTGTTACAAATAGTTTAATTACTGATATAAATATACATATGCATGTTTATTTTTTAATGAGAACTAATGTTCTTGTGCATTATAAAGTTTCAGGATTTATCTAATAAGGCTTGAAATCTTTTAACTACATGGTGGAACTTTCCATGACATTTATATACTCTAACATCCAATCATCTTGGTTTTAATGAAAATATTTTCCTTAAATATTTTGAAAGTAAATCATCTTCACTGAATCAAATTGACATTTTAATTTGAACTCTCCACTCTAAAAAGAATTTGCAGTCAAAATTTGTCATTAAAAAAACTCAATGAAATGAAAAATAATGATATGTTGGCTTGCTTCTACAAGCAACTGGAAGAGAAACGCTAAAGATACTATATTTTAACGCTCAGTTGACTTCTTTTACTGCCAGCAGGGATTAAGTGGGAGACAGCGCCTGGTTTAGCACAAAGAGCCACAGCATTATTTATTTATTTATTTAAAGATTTATTTTTATGTATTTATGCATACACGAACTGGGGTGTATGCCAGAGGTGCAGGGACTGGGGGTCGAGGGGAATCACCAAATACAATGGAAAGAAGAAAAGTCAGATCTATAGAATACATTGCTGAAGGGAGTAGTGGTCAAAATAGGGGAGGTCTGCTACTCCATGTGGGTCACCTCCCTGGCCAGGATTGAACTCATGCCACAGTGGCTGGCGTTAGCTTGATAGTGCTGTAACTTTAACCTCTGTGCTGCCAGGGAGGAAAGGCCACAGCTTTAAAAAGAAATGCTGAAAAAGGAGCTGTGTCACTTACCAGAAGGATGGCTTTATTCAAGTAACTTAGTTTCTTCATTCTTAGAATTTGGTTGATAATAATATGTCAGAGTCTGAAGAAAACAGTGTACAGAAAGGTATTACAAAGAAAATTTTATCAAAATATAGGATTGTTGCAGGTATACTTTATATATTTTCTAATAGATATCATTCTTTTTATTTTTAATTTTATAAATATCACTATGTGTTTTCAAATATCTAATTGAAAAAACAATACATGATGAAGCTAAAAACAGCAGAACGTTAAAACATGCAAAAAGAAGGAATTGAGAATCACGCATAAGCACTCCAAATAAGTTTTTAAATATGTATTTATTTATGCATACAGAAGTGGGGTGCAAGCCAAAAGTGCAGGGGCGGTGAGGGGTTTCACCAGAGGCAGAGTGGGGAGCAGAACAGGCAAATCGACAAGGTACACTGCCAGGGGAGCAGTGGGCAGGCCAGGAGGGGTTTGCCGCCCCCTGTGTGTCACTTCCAGGGCCCGGGATTGAACTCGCACTAAAGCGGCTGCAGCCAGCTTCCAGTACTGCGTCCTTATCCATTGCACCACCAGGGAGGGTCTCCAAATAATTTTTAACACATGTTCATGCCATTTTCATTTAACTTTTTACTTGTGCAGGGAGCTTTTGAAGATAAACAGTTACTGCAGTGTACACGGTCATAAGTGGTTTGTTCCTTTATCTCAACATTATATTATGATCATGTGCTTCATATGATTGTGTAAGTTAATGCATACACCTTTATCTGAAAGAAACAAAATATAATTTATTTATTCCCTGTTTTCATTAATTGATAAATTGTCTCTGGGAACAGTCACACTGCACTACACTAATTTTTGTATATTAATTTCTGCCAATGCCAATGGTTTGTAATTTTAAGAAGTATATGTGATCCCTTCAAGAAACGTCAATACATGCGTGAAAGCTTTCAAGAACAATCCTCTGTTCTGTTAAAGTTACAGGTCTTCAGTAGGGTTGGAATAGACCAGCCAGAGGTGCGGAGGGTGAGAGGATTCACCACAGACAGTGTGGGGAGCAGAACAGGCAGAGTGGTGAAGTACACCGCTGAGGGGAACAGCAGGTGGGTCAGGAGAGGTCTGCCACGCCATGTGGTCACCTCCGGGACCGGCATTGAAGTGACTGTCGCAAACTTGGCGTGCTGTGCTTTAACCCACTGCGCCACCAGGGAGGGCGAATAAATAATTTAAAACAAACAAACAAACAAACAAAATCACCACCACCACCACCAACAACAAAAACTGTTGTTTGAGCAAAATGCTGCGATCCCAAATGGCCAATTTTCTTTAAAAATAATAATTTCTTTCTTTGTACTCAGATACAGTCTTTCAGGGGGTGACCACAGACGTATATGAGTATTGCAGTTGAGGTATATTTTACCTGTTACTAAGTAACCTGTCAGTCAGGAAGGGTGAAGTATTAACTCAATTTTTTAAGAAAGAATTGAACTAAAAACATTGAAAAAAAATTAGATACTAAGTTTTAAATCCCCCCCCCCCCCCACACATAGCTTACCTCTGCAAGGCTCCACAGTCTCTTTTGTCACAATGGAGGACAATTGTATCTTCCCTACAATGGCTAGAGCCCATCTTCCATCTCTTCCTCTGGTTCCTCAGATGGAACTCTTTTTCTTGCATAATTTTCTCTAACTTCCTTGTGGATTATTACTGCCAGCATTCAATCATGTTGTGGTATTTCCTGTCTCAAAAGGTTCTTGTTTGAATAGATTTCTCAAAACAATGCTAACCATCTTTACCTTCTCCTTCTCAGTCACAGTCACTGTTTTAGTCTTGCATGCTAGTGAAAGTGCACCAGTTATGTGCTTTTGCCATACCTAATCAATTCTTTGCCCCCAATTTAGTATTCTTTCTACCAGAAATAATCTGTAGATTATTAAAGCCTATGCCTTACAGGACACATTTGTCTCCCGGTTTTCCTTCTTCATAAATGATCCTTCTCGATGAGATTTCTGTGCTGGTTTCTCTTTTGCCACACTGATGAATGCTGGCATTCTTCCAGGGTTAGCACTGAGTTCATTCTCATACTCTTCCCTTCTCCTACATACGATCTCATTAGGTCTGACACATTCACCTACCACGTTTGTTTTGGTGACTCCTAATTTTGTATCTCGAACTCTCATGAGTCAAATGCATTCCACTATTTATATGACATCTTTTAGAATGTATTCTAATCACCTCAACGTCCTTTTATCCAAGCTAGAAATTTTAATTTTTCATTACACTAAATCTATTTTTTCTCCTAGCCATCTCTGACTCAGTAAATAATATCACTATCTACTTTTTTATTGAAGCCAGATGCTAGAAGCTCAACTGATTCTTTTATCCTCTGCCCAGTTATAACTATCAATGATTGTGCTGATGGTCTCTAGAAAGCAGTTAAGGACCACTGCAGTTACACCACTAGCATCTTATCCCAGGCTACCATTATTTCTCTCCTGATTGATAGCACGGGTCTATTGTTAGTGTTTCACTGGTCTTTCCTCTCTTCTAACCTAATTTCCACTCAGCAAGAAAAGTGACTTATGAATATGATAATAGAAACACATTATTTTCCTTGTAAAAGTCATTGGTGATTTCTCACTGCCCTTAGAATCAAATGGAATCTTCTTACCAAAGTCTAAATGTTCCCAGGTGATCCAAAGCTTACCTAACACACCACTCTTTCTCATCTGCCAGGTGCTATAAAACCAATCTTGTCCATTTTCAAAAGGTCCAAGCTTTTTCACTCCAGAGAGAAAGAGAGACTTTGTAGATGTTTTCACCCCTGACTGGAAAATTCTTCCTGTTGCATTTCACCCATTTACCTAAACAAACCCTTATCTTTTTTGGGTCTCTGTGTAAATCATCCATCTTGAAAAAGCCCTTTTTTACAGCTCTTTATTATTCATATTCAGATCATCGTTTTACCCCCCTCCCCAACAGGGCACTTATAGCAAGTTATTATTTTTTTCCCAATTTCACCAATCATCCAAGCTCCAGGAGAGTAGAGAAATGTCTAAACAGTATTTTGTTTTGCCTTCAGTGCATGTCCTGGCACACAGTAGATGCTTAATAAATATTGAATGAACAAACATGTTGTCACATTGTTTAATTTGGGGATACCCAAAAGCCATTATATACAATTATGCCAGTTTTTAATTTTCTAATTAAAAAACAGAAAAGTCAACCAATTCTAATCAAACTAAGTGAAATAAGAAACAGAAAAACACGTTTGGATCATTCAAAAAGAAAGTCTCATTTTTGTTTGTTCTGTCTCCCACTACAAAGATAATGAGAAATGTTATGTGATCAAGGATCAAGTACAACAAAACATTTTTCTAATCTAGTTTTCTTCAATTATTGTCAGTGGTATAAGAAGCATAATTTTTGCTTGAATTATTTGGGCAATTATTTCAATGTAATGATCTGACGAAAACATGCAGTGGTAATAGTCTTTATTGCTTCAGTTCCTTCTTTGATCTGAGAGGCGTCACACTCAGCTAGGCAGGGGTGAAAGAAGCTTCCTTGACTAACTGTACCACTGTCCACAGTTCAAGCATTTTCATGTTGTATTTCAATTAAGCATGTCCTACGAACCCATAGTGAGATATGAATTCCAAGTTTGTTTGTTTTTTTAAATGGTAGGGATTTTGAATTAAACCATATTCTTTTTTTTTTTTTAAAGATTTATTTATTTATTCATACAGAATTGGGGTACAGGCCAGAGATACGGAGGGTGAGGGGATTCACCAGGGACAAAGTGGGGAGCAGAACAGGCAGATCGATGAAGTACACTGCTGAGGGGAGCAGCGGGCGGGTCAGGAGAGGTCTGCCACGCCATGTGGTCACCTCCCGGGCAGGCTGGGATTGAACTCATGCGGAAGTGGCTTAAGCTTCTTAGTGCAGTGCTTTAACCCACTGTGCCACCAGGGAGGGCCTAAACCATATTCTTTTTTATGGCATCCACTTCTCCCTTGGTAAAATGCTTATTGGGAGATAAATTTGCCACTAAAGGCTGTTGCTGTCAATTTTTTTCTTTTCCTAGTGAAAATAACTATTTTTAACCACAGCACTGACTTTGTTAATAATTTGCTCTTGAGAATATTCCTAAACACGTACAATATCCTTTTTATTCTCTGTCTCATCAGGAAGCAAGGTCACTCTTAGTATTCCTTTTTCAATGGCTGAGGAAAAAGTGTGAGTTCTTGAATTCGTGGTAAGATAGAATGGCTTGTGATTTCATTTCATATATTAGGATTTAAAAAAACTGTGACTTTTGCTCACTTGTTTTACATCAGGGACTTGTGAGACATCCCTTACTTTTCCTGATTTTTTGCAGGTGAGTATTGATGATTTTAATATTGCTTTGAATATAAAATGATTTTTTTTATTGTATCACATTGATAGAAACAGTTTGCATGACAACATATTGTTCAGTTTAAAGTGTGATCAGTTGTGAAAGAATAGTCTGTTTCTGTATAATTTATCTTCCATATATCTGAACATCTAATCTCTTGAATTTTTCATACTTCAGAAAGCAAACATTAGAAATGTTATTTTATAAAATATTTTCATTTTTTAAATATCAGCCTTTTAGGATAAAACTCTCACTCAATAAAATATGCCTGTTTTGAAATCACAGTACAATGAGTTTTGAAAAATGTGTCTACCCAAGTAACCACAACCACATCAAGATATAGAATATCATCCCCAAAAGTTCCCTCTGGTCCCTTTGCAGTAACCACTAATCTGTTCTCTGTCACTATAGATTGGCTTGTCTAAATTTTCTAGGTTTCCAAATAAACAGAATGATGTAGTCACAGTCTCTTAAGTCTGGTTTCCATTGCATTTTTGTTTTTCAGTCATGATGTTATGCATATCAGTAGTTAATTTGTTTTATTGCTGAGTCGTATTGTATCATATAGATACACCACAATTTATTCATTCACTCATCTTTCCTACATATTTCTAGTTTGGGGCTAGTATGAATAAAGATTTTTTTAAAATACTGTATATGTCTTGTGTGTACATATTCATACTACCAGGTGATGCAGGTACAATGTGTAAGATATAAGGTGGTTATTTTAAGAGCCTCAAACCCAAGAAATGGAAGTAGATTAAAAATAACTGTCAATAGGGCCCTCCCTGGTGGCGCAGCGGGTTGGGGCACAGCACTAAGAAGCTAAGGCCACTTCCGCATGAGTTCGATCCCCACCTGCCCCGGAGGTGACCACATGGCGTGGCAGACCTCTCCTGACCCGGCTGCTACTCCCCTCAGCAGTGTACCTCATCGATCTGCCTGTTCTGCTCCCCACTCTGTCTCTGGTGAAGCCTCTCGCTGCCCCTGAGCCTCTGGCCTGTACCCCAGTTCTGTATGCACAGGTAAATAAATCTTAAAAAAAAAAAACTGTCAATAACACAAGCTAGGAAGTTCGGTAACAGTGATCCCAATACAGTGTTGGAAGAGAATATATCATGTGGATATATGTTTTCACTTTTTTTGGGAGGATAAATATCTCTGCTTAAACTCGTTGGACTGTAGTTGCCTTAGGCGTGTGCCCTCATGTCCTTTGCTGTGAAGAGAAGAGTCACAGAAGCTCCAGCTGTCACCTCCTTTGTAGCCACCACTTTTGCACAGAAGCCTCACGAGACAGTCCTTCCCTACTTTACAGTCAGTGATTCAGAACAGAAGGGGGAATAGAGAGGACCCATGCTGTGAAATGTGGGACATTTCCACATTTCAAGTTGGACTTGAATACTCCTGAGCCAACCTTTCCAAGAGTTAAGTAGCAGTTCAGGACTATTCTCACCAATTCCTTGTTTCTTCCCCTTCTCCTTCACTGGTGCCTGACTTGTATCATATAGTTTGAAGGTGTTTTCTACCTTCTTGGGGCCCTGCTCCCCCTTTTTTAAAAAAGATTTATTTATTCTGGCCCTCCCTGGTGGTGCAGCGGGTTAATGCGCTGCACTGAGAAACTAAAGCCACTTCTGCACGAGTTCGATCCCCGCCTGCCCCGGAGGTGACCACATGGCGTGGCAGACCTCTCCTGACCCGCCCGCTGCTCCCCTCGGCAGTGTACTTCGCTGATCTGCCTGTTCTGCTCCCCACTCTGTTCATGGTGAATCCTCTCACCCTCCCCATCTCTGGCCTGTACCCCAGTTCTGTATGAATAAATAAATAAATCTTTAAAAAAAAAGATTTATTTATTCATACAGAACTGGGGTACAGAGATGCGGAGGGTGAGAGGCTTCACCAGAGACACAGTGGGGAGCAGAACAGGCAGAAGTACACTGCTGAGGGGAGCAGCGGGCGGGTCAGGAGAGGTCTGCCAGGCCATGTGGTCACCTCCAGGGCAGGCAGGGATTGAACTCATGCGGAAGTGGTTTTAGCTTCTCAGTGCTGTGCCCACTGCGCCCGCCCTGCCCCTTTTACTGTGTACAGAGGTTTCTTCACATTGATTTCTTATACCTGTCCACCCAGCCATAGCATCTTCTGCACAGAGGATGGAAATTAGTAACATCTGAGTCACATCGTCAGTGTTAAGTTTAAATTCAAGTCTTACACTTACAAACTGACACACTCATTTCTAAAGTTGTACTATTTGTAATTCTCACTGGAAATATATGAAAGCTTCAATTTTTTCCCACACCTTCACAAACATGGAGTCTTTTTAATCTTTATTTTATTTATTCTAGTGA